CGAGTCTTGCCTCTTAACCCTGCCTCTGGAAAAAATGTTATAAAATACCGACACAGTGGAAATATAAACACATATGCAGTATAATGTGATCCTTTATTGACAACGTTTCGCCCACACAGTGGGCTTTTTCAAGTCACAAACAGATATGTTTGTGAATTGAAAAAGCCCACTGTGTGGGCGAAACGTTGTCAATAAAGGATCACATTATACTGCATATGTGTTTATATTTCCAACCCTGCCTCTTTTAAGCCAAGTGACCGTCTCCACTTCTGTTCTCATGGGGTCCTATCATACCTGTTATTTATGCTATGTATGAAGTCTGCCTCCACCACGCCATACAGGTCATTCCATTTTCTGGTCATCCAGAGGCTGAAAAAATATTTCCAAACATCTCCGTGGTTCATTTGTGTTTTTAGCGTCCAACTGTGCCGTGTTGTACTCATTATCGTCTCGAAACACCTTTCTATACACCCATCAAATACTATTTTTTTCGTCGTCATCATGTCTGCCCTCTATCTTGTAGTGTTATTATATTCAGCTCTTTTAAACTGAGGGATTTTCCATCAACTCGTGAGGAATCGTGTTATTACTGTGCGAGAGGACAAAAAGAAAACAAGGGGAGGTCCTGCTGAATATATTGAATCCGGACTAATATTTAAAAGACTTACGGCACTCAGTACCTCTTGTAATGTTAATGTAAACAACATAATGAACTATGAACTAGCATCACCTCCAACCATATGCGGAGTGCTAAATCAGAGTCATTATTGATAAAAAATGCTTGAGTGAAATTGTGAGTCCTTGCAGTTGGACAGCCTGGAGCCACTGTCATAGATGAATGTTCCATTATTTGCGCACTTTATTGAACAAGTAAGGCCAGTGTATAAGACCTAGTTGCAATTTTTTTGTAAAATATGTTCACCACAAAATTAAAGGGAGCATCAGAGTACATGCAATCTTTGACCGCTACCCTGAGTACAGCATCAAAAATGGTACTAGATGTGAGCGAGCAACTCGGATGTAAAGAACTAAAACTGCATTTGCACTCTGTTCCTCCTCAGCAGGTGTTAACTGTCACGATAAGCAGGGCATTGTTGACTGATATGGTATTATTGGATTACTGTACGATAGCCATATAACCTTAGTAGTCTAATGCTTACTAGGGGGTCATCTATATCTGTAGAGATACGCTGCGGGTTAGTTATCCATAGACAAGACTTAATGACCATGATATCACTGGCTACTGTTGGATGTCAATGTCAAAGTTATTAGCGATGACACTGGTGTCTTTGGGGTGTTAATAGATTACTGGGCAGAGAGACACACCTGGCTGAGTAGAGATAGACACCCCTGGCTGAGTAGAGATAGACACCCCTGGCTGAGTAAAGGTAGACACAGGTGGCTAAGTGGAGATAAATATATATGACTGAGCAGAAGTAGACGGGTGACTATGTAGAGGTAGAGAGAGAGAGGTGGATGAGTGTTGGCTCGGGGGAGCAGCAGCAGCACCAGGTGTGGTGCCTCTGGCTGCTCCTAGAGGTACCATGCAAATGAGCCAGAAGTTCGCTGCTGCTGCCTGGGTTTTGTATACACATCCATGTTTCACAATCCAATTTATTTTCCTTTGTTTATTCATGTGAGAGATTTTAACCATCCAACTGATTTTCAAAAGGTTGAGAAGGTTGTATCTAGCAAGTTCATGGTCGACACGAATATTATAGAATTAAGTTTCATAAAAAATACTTATGGATTTATTTATAATCAATAAAATTTGGGAAGAATTTAAGATGCATTAAACAAGTTAAATTCTTAATGCTTGGGTAGAATATAAGTTGTGTTTCACTTAAATCATCATAAAAAGTCAAGTGTTGTAAGGTAACTGTGAGGTGTAGTCTCGTTCCTTATATGTCTTCCTGTTGATTTTTTATTTTACAGGCACTGGACCAGCCAGTCTGTGGTTCGTACGCTTGACTGTGTGCGGCTAGCAGTAACAGCCTGGTTGATCAGGCCCTGGTCCACCATGAGGCCTGGTCACAGACCGGGCAGCGGGGGCATTGATCCCCGGAACTCTCTCCAGGTATACTCCAGGTATAACGTGAAAAACCACGAAAGCACTTGGAATTCTACTATTTTTTTCACAGTGGTTGTTCTTCATATATATATATATATATATATATATATATATATATATATATATATATATATATATATATATATATATATATGTTGTGGCGAATAGGCAGAACTTGCGATCTTGGCTTAAATAGCAACGCTCATCTTGCTATATAGGACAAGCGAAAATTTGTGTATGCAATAAATTCGCCAAAATCATTCTGAACCTAACGAAAAAAATATATTTCACTGTGCTTGTTTAGTATTAAATTACTGTAAACAAATCTAAAATATATTTAGTTGGGTTAGGCTAAAATAAATTGCTCTTGTTATAATAAGGTTAGGTAAGTTTTCTAAGATTCTTTTAGTGCAAAATTATAAATTTTTACCTTAACATTAATGAAAAAAATATATCTTTAAACGTATAAGAGAAAATTTTAGAAAGGACTTAATTTGAAATGAGTTCTTGCTAATTGACCAGTTTTACATATTCGGCACGACATATATATATATATATATATATATATATATATATATATATATATATATATATATATATTATATATATATATATATATATATATATATATATATATATATGCAATAAGATCACAGTAAACAGGTGATATCAAAAATATACAAAGCAACCACTGTGGAAAAATAGCGAAATTCTAATCGCTTTCGTGGCCTCTCACATTATCAAGGAAATATAAAAAAATCAAAGGAAGGCATATAAAAGGTCAAGACTACACATCACGTCGCCACAACAAAGCTACACCTCACACACGCGTGACGACACCCGACTCTGTAAAATCCACCTAATACTCTACGCAAGAATTAAGATTTATTACTTGTCTGATGTATCATTAAATTCTTCCCAAATTTTATTAATTATAAATGAATCTAATTTATATAAAACAAAAGAAATATTTATATTTTCAAAACTGCTTTTTATGAAACATGATTCTATTATAAGTTCCTGTCGACCATGGACTTGCTTGATACAACTTTCTCAACTTTTTGAAAATCAATTGGATGGTTAAAATCTCTCACATAAATAAACAAAGCGTTAGAATCTTGTCCACTTTTAATGCTATATTTATGTTGTTTTAATCTTAGAGACTTTTACCAGTTTGAACGTAATAAACTTTATCGCAAATTTGACGAGGAATCTTATAGACACATCCATCAGCATTTGGGAGGGGGAATTTTTTATCAAAATTTTTTGTACTGTATCAAGAGTTTTAAATACAACTTTGATATTAAAAGTCTTAAGAAGAGAAGGCATATCAACCAAGTTTTCATGGTAAGGGAGAACCAAAATAATTTTAGTTGAATAAGGTTGGTTGTCCCTTTTTGAATTGTGGAAAGTATTTCTAGCAATTTTAAAAGATTTATTAATTAAGTTTCTTGGGTATTTTAGATCATTAGCTGTTTCATAAATTTTCGAGATTTCTTCATCTATGAATTCTGGGCTGTAAATACTTAAAGCTTTCAAAAACATTGATGAGAATATAGACAGTTTAACTTTATCTTGATGCGAAGAATAATAGTGTACATAGGAACAATTATTTGTTGGTTTTCTGTAAATTTTATTTAATAATTATTTAGGGGAACCGTGATTGTAAATAAAGCATTGCCATATGTGTGTATGTGTGTGTGTGGTGATAAGACTGGAACCCGAAGGTCCGTGTGTACGAATCCTATGTTGTACTACTTGGTTATGTGTGTTACACTAGGAATGCAACAAGGCATGTGTGATGGTCGGTGGACGAGACTCACTTGACTCACCAAACGCTCTGCTTCATTAAGTCTCGTGTCTCGTGGGGGTCACCACATGACAATATATTACAAAGTTGAGGCTAAATAACTTGGTGGTTTCTCTCCTGTGTGACGCCAACTGTGTTTTGCAGAGCTTGACTGTCGCTGTAACTGAGGCTCCCGAGGGTGTCCTTCACGCTGCTAACTGATTTTATCATGTATTTGGAAAAGGACATTTGAAACAGTGTTTCATGGAATTGCATCAAATTGTGGCCTCAGATGGCCAAGTCTGGGACGGTAATGTTGTTTGCCTGAGTGGAGATTGGTGGATGCGAAGATGAGGGTGTGTTGGGGGGATGGGGGAAGTGGTGCGTGCGGGGGAAACAGTAGGTTTATGGAAGGGGTAAGGAAGTGTGAATATAGGTGGGGTGAATGTTGAAGAGTGACCGAGATGGTATGTGCGTTGAGATTTTAGTGTGTGTATGTGATCCATTGCAGTACTTTCCCTCCTAATCCTGCTTGCTCCTCTAGCTTTTCAACTAGTCTCTTGTGTGTTACTGTGTCGAAAGCCTTCTTACAGTCCAAGAAGATACAGTCTACCCATCCCTCTGTCTCCTGTCTTACGTCTGTTACCTTGCCATAGAACTCCAGTAGGTTTGTGATGCAGGATTTCCCTTCCCTGAAGCCGTGCTGGTTGTCATGTATTAGTCCATTCTACGTGCTCCACTATTCTTTTCCTGATAATCTCCATAACTTTACATACAATACATGTCAGCGACACTGATCTGTAATATAGAGCAGCTTGTCTGTTTCCTTTCTTAAAAATCGGGATTACATTTGCTGTCTTCCACATCTCAGGCAGTTGCCCTGTTTCGGTAGATTTATTGAAGATTGTTGTTAGTGGCACACACAGTGCATATGCCCCCTCTCTCAGGACCCATGGAGAGATATTATCTAGGCTCACCGCCTTCCAGGTATCTAGTTCCTCTAGCAGCTTCTTCACCTCCTCCTCGGTTGTGTGCAGTGTGTCCGGCATTTGCTGGTGCACCCTACCGCCTCGGTTTGCTGGAAGCCTCTGTCTTCAATGTGAATACCTCCCGAAATCACGAGCTGAGCTCTTCACATACTTCCTCGTCGTTTCCTGTCAGCTTCCCTCCTTCCTTCCTCATCCTGATTACCTGACCCCTGACTGTTGTTTTCCTCCTGATGTGGCTGTATAATAACTTTGGGTCAGATTTGGCTTTTGATGCTGTCATTCTCGTATCGACTCTGGGCTTCTCTCCTTATCCATGCGTATTCATTTCTGGCTCTTCGGTTCAACTCCCAGTTTTCCTGGGTCCTTCGCCTTATATACTTGTTTACAAACTCTAGCAGACTTGGCTTTGGCCTCTCCACACCTCCTGGTAAACCAAAGGTTCACTAGTCTTCCTGTTGTTTCTGTTGCCCCTTGATACGAACTTCTCCACTGCCTCCCTGCACTTTGTGGTCACGTGTTCCATCATTTCGTTTACTCTCTTTCCTTCTAGCTCGCTTGTCTACTTCACCTCATGTAGGAATTGCCTCATGCTTGTGCAGTTCCCTTTTTGGAAGTTTAGCTTCTCCCGTCCTTCTCGTGCTGCTTCACTCTCCATTGTTAACTCTACTATGTATTCGAAACTCAAGACTACGTGATCACTAGCGCCTAGGGGCCTTTCGTGTGTGATATTCCCTATGTCTGAACTGTTTAAGGTCCAGCCTTGCTGGTTCATTGTCTCCTCTCTCTCTCTGGTTGTGTCCTTAACATGTTGGTACATGAAGTTTTCCAGTAACCCCTCCAGCATCTTGGCTCTCCACGTCTCTGGTCCTCTATGTGGCCCCAGATTCTCCCAATCTCCTTATGGTTGAAATCCCTTTTGACGAGTAACTTTGCCTTGCTCATGTGTGTGTGTGTGTGTGTGTGTGTGTGTGTGTGTGTGTGTGTGTGTGTGTGTGGGTGTGTGTGTATCTGTGTGTTCTTGTGTGTGTGTGTGTGTGTGTGTGTGTGTGTGTGTGTGTGTACTCACCTAGTTGTACTCACCTAGGTGTGGTTGTGGGGGTCGATTCACAGCTGCTGACCCCGCCTCTTCAACTGGCCGCTACCCGGTCACTCTTCCTGCTCCGTGAGCTTTACCATACCTCTTCTTAAAGCTATGTATGAAACCTACCTCCACTACATCACTACCCAGGCTATTCCTCTTCCTGACAACTCTGTGACTGAAGAAATACTTCCTAACATCCTTGTGGTTCATCTGAGTCTTCAGCTGTCAACAGTGACCCCTTGTTGCTGTGTCTCATCTCTGGAACATCCTGTCTCTGTCCAACTTGTCTATACCTCTCAGTATTTTATATATCGTTATCATATCTCACCTAACTCTCCTGTCTTCCTGTGTCGTCAGGTCGATTTCCCTTAACCTCTCCTCGAAGGACATATATCTTAGCTCCGGGACTAGTCTTGTTGCAAACCTCTGCACTTTCTCTAGTTTCCTCACATGCTTGGCTAGGCGAGGGTTCCAAACTGGCGCTACATATTCCAATATGGGTCTAACGTACACAGTACACAGGGTCCTGAATGACTCCTTATTTAGATCTCTGAATGCTGTTCTTGGGTTTGCTAGGCGCCCGTATGCTTCAGCTGTTATTAGGTTGATGTGCGCTTCAGATGTTCCTGGTGTTATACTCACACCAAGATCCTTTTCCTTGAGTGAGGTTTGTAGTCTCTGGCCCCCTTAGACTGTACTCCGTCTGTGGTCTTCTTTACACTTCCCCAATCTTCATGACTTTGCACTTGGTGGGGTTGAACTGTAGGAGCCAGTTTCCGGACCAGGCCTGCAGTCTGTCCAGATCACTTTGTAGTTCTGCCTGGTCTTCGTCCGACTGAATTCTTCTCATCAACTTCACATCATCTGCAAACAGGGACACTTCGGAGTCTATTCCTTCTGTCAAGTGGTTCACAAATACCAGAAACAACACCGGCCCTAGGACTGATCCCTGTGGCACCCCGCTCGTTACCGGCGCCCACTCTGACACCTCGCCACGTACCATGACTGTGTCTTCCTGACAAGTATTCCCTGATCTACTGTCGTGCCTTCCCTGTTGTCCCTGCCTGGTCCTCCAGCTTCCGCACTAATCTCTTGTGTGCAACTGTGTCAAACGCCTTCTTACAGTCCAAGAAAATGCAATCTACCCACCCCTCTCTCTCTCTCTTGTCTTACTGCCGTCATTCTGTCATAGAACTCCAGTAGGTTTGTGATGCAGGATTTCCCGTCCCTGAAAACGTGCTGGCTGTCGTTGATAAGCTCATTCCTTTCTAGGTGCTCCACCACTCTTCTCCTGATAATTTTCTCCGTGACCTTGCATACTATACACGTCAGTGACACTGGTCTGTAGTTCAAACTTCGTGTCTTTCTCCTTTTTTTAAAAATTGGGACTACATTTGCTGTCTTCCATACTTCCGGTAGTCGTCTTGTTTCGATAGATGTGTTGAAGATAGTTGTTAGTGGTACACAAAGCGCCTCTGCTCCCTCTCTCAGGACCCATGGAGAGATGTTATCCGGCCCCATTGCCTTTGAGGTGTCTAGCTCGCTTAACAGCCTCTTCACTTCTTCCTCGGTTGTATGTATTGTGTCCAACACTTGATGGTGTACCCGACCTCTCTGCCTTTCTGGAGACCCTTCTGTCTCCTCTGTGAACACTTCTTTGAATCTCCTGTTGAGCTCCTCACATTCTTCGCGGTCGTTTTTTGTGACCTCCCTTCCTTCCTTCCTCTGCCTGATTATCTGGTCCTTGACTGTTGTGTTCCTCCTGATGTGGCTGTACAACAGTTTTGGGTTAGATTTGGCTTTCGCTTCTGTGTGTGTGTGTGTGTGTGTGTGTGTGTGTGTGTGTGTGTGTGTGTGTGTGTGTGTGTGTGTGTGTGTGTGTGTGTGTGTTTTGTGTTTGGTGTGTGTGTGTGTGTGTGTGTGTGTGTGTGTGTGTGTGTGTGTGTACTCACCTATTTGTACTCACCTATTTGTGGTTGCAGGGGTCGAGTCATAGCTCCTGGCCCCGCCTCTTCACTGATTGCTACTAGGTCCTCTCTCTCCCTGCTACATGAGCTTTATCATACCTCGCCTTAAAACTATGTATGGTTCCCGCCTCCACTACTTCACTTTCTAGACTATTCCATGACTTGACTACTCTATGACTGAAGAAATACTTCCTAACATCCCTTCGATTCATCTGAGTCTTCAACTTCCAATTGTGACCTCTTGTGTCTGTGTCCCATCTCTGGAACATCCTGTCTTTGTCCACCTTGTCTATTCCGCGCAGTATTTTATATGTCGTTATCATGTCTCCCCTGACCCTCCTGGTCTCCAGTGTCGTCAGGCCGATTTCCCTCAACCTTTCTTCGTAGGACAATCCTTGACTGTTGTAACATGTGTGTGTGTGTGTGTGTGTGTGTGTGTGTGTGTGTGTGCGCGCGCGCGCACGTGCGCGTCTGTGTGCGTGCAGGGGATCTGTGTGTGTATGCGTGCGAGCTTATGGGCGAGAGAAGTGATATGTGGGGAAGAGGTGAGAATATGTTTGGACCTATGCACATAATGTTGATTACACCTGTTGTAACATTTTACACACACACACACACACACACACACACACACACACACACACACACACACACACACACACACACACACACACACACACACACACACACACACGCACACACACACGCACACACACACACACCACACCACCACTTACCACAATCTTCAACACATCCCTGGAAACTGGGCAACTACCTGAGGTATGGAAGACGGCAAATGTAGTTCCCATTTTTAAAAAAGGAGACAGAAAAGAGGCACTAAACTATAGACCTGTGTCATTGACGTGTATAGTATGCAAAATTATGGAGAAGATTATCAGGAGGAGAGTGGTGGAGCACCTGGAACTGAACAAGATTATAAATGCCAACCAGCACGGATTCACGGAAGGCAAATCCTGTGTCACAAACCTTCTGGAGTTTTATGATAAAATAACAGAAGTAAGACACGAGAGAGAGGGGTGGGTTGATTGCATCTTCTTGGACTGCAAGAAGGCCTTTGACACAGTTCCTCACAAGAGATTAGTGCTGAAGCTAGAGCATCAGGCGCATATAACAGGAAGGGCACTGCAATGGATCAGAGAATACCTGACAGGGAGGCAACAACGATTCATGGTACGTAATGATGTATCACAGTGGGCACCTGTGACGAGCGGGGTCCCACAGGGGTCGGTCCTAGGACCAGTGCTATTTTTGGTATATGTGAACGACATGATGGAAGGGTTAGACTCAGAAGTGTCCCTGTTTGCAGATGATGTGAAGTTAATGAGGAGAATTAAATCTGATGAGGACCAGGCAGGACTTCAAAGAGACCTGGACAGACTGGACACCTGGTCCAGCAAATGGCTTCTCGAATTTAATCCTGCCAAATGCAAAGTCATGAAGATAGGGGAAGGGCACAGAAGACCACAGCATGTCTCCGGAAGCACACATCAATCAGATAACTGCTGCAGCATATGGGCGCCTGGCAAACCTGAGAACAGCATTCCGATACCTTAGTAAGGAATCGTTCAAGACACTGTACACCGTGTATGTCAGGCCCATACTGGAGTATGCAGCACCTGTTTGGAACCCGCACTTGATAAAGCACGTCAAGAAACTAGAGAAAGTACAAAGGTTTGCCACAAGGTTAGTTCCAGAGCTAAGGGGAATGTCCTATGAAGAAAGATTAAGGGATATCGGCCTGACGACACTGGAGGACAGGAGGGTCAGGGGAGACATGATAACGACATATAAAATACTGCGTGGAATAGACAAGGTGGACAAAGACAGGATGTTCCAGGGAGGGGACACAGAAACAAGAGGCCACAATTGGAAGTTGAAGACACAAATGAGTCAGAGAGATATTAGGAAGTATTTCTTCAGTCATAGAGTTGTAAGGCAGTGGAATAGCCTAGAAAATGACGTAGTGGAGGCAGGAACCATACACAGTTTTAAGACGAGGTTTGATAAAGCTCATGGAGCGGGGAGAGAGAGGGCCCAGTAGCAACCGGTGAAGAGGCGGGGCCAGGAGCTAAGACTCGACCCCTGCAACCACAAATAGGTGAGTACACACACACACACACACAC